AGTTTGTCACACTGCGCACGTAGATGTTGAATGATTTGAGCAGGTTCTTTCATCATAGCAACCTGTAAAAGGCTTTCAACGCTGTTCACACTCACCTGTTTAATCTTCTGTGCCTCCCAAAGCTATTGTGAAAAACAGAGAAAGATGCAAAAGAGGGAAATGTTTACAAGTATTCCATCCTCACTTTGCTTTTGTTGTGTAACTAAAGTTACCAAGAAAACCGAAGTTCTTTAGACAACACATGTGAAATTTGATTGAAATTTGAGTGGTTGATGTTTGTTCCTCTGCTCACATACCCATTAGCTATATACACTCTTAAAAAATGGCTCTTTATTGACATCTGTGGTTCCATGAAGAACCTTTAACATAAATGGAATCTATTTATCTAATACATCTATGGTATCCATTCCACAACAGGTTTTTATAATGGAAAAAGGTTCTTTATATTATTAAAATGGTCTTCACACGAAGGAAAAATGAAAAAAGTTTTTAAAAGTTCTTTTCAAAACTGTTCACTGAAAGGTTCTTTGGTGAACCAAAACATGTTCTCCCTATGGCATTACTGCAAAAAAAGTGTAGCAAACATGACACAAATTAACCTTTAATGGGCCCCAAACTTACCTGCACATTTGTCACACCTGGAGGCAGAGATCCTTTTTTGAACTGATCCAAGAGATTCATACATTCATTTAAACGTTTCTTTAAAAAAAACATAGAAAACAGCATTCACATACAAACTATCACATCATTTGAGGTTTACATTTCAGAAGACTCTTGCTTACCTCTGATACAAAGAGCGTGCGAGGGTCGATCACATCCAGGAAGTGTCTTAATCTGCCATAAAATGAACCCTGAAAGTAACATTGAGAAATAGAACAGTAAAATGCACTGCATTTTCATGTAGGGAATTAAACAATACTCTCACAGCCTTGCATAATATTGTATGATTTGGCGAATTTGTGGCTAATTTGTGGGTAATTTGTACAATTAATCTCAATTAAATGTTTGAATATTGTGTATTAAAGGTGTAACAAATTGAGAGAAAGCAGCAAAGGAAGTGAGATCACCAGCAGAGGTACTTGCCTGGAGGAAATTAATTCCAACTTAATTCTATAGATAATATCATTTATCCATCTGATATAGTTCAAAAGTTAAACATCTAGTCTATAGCATACCTGGTTTGTGGAGAAGGTTCATTGTTTTAGTTTAAAAACACAATGGAAGTAAATACAGATTAAGTGGGACAAGAAGTGAACTGAGACATTTAATTTTGTATTTAATGTCTTCTTTTTTTACTCTTTTTATCTAGTGTATTGGAGATCTTTAACTGTTTAACATGGCATTGTGTGGTTCAGTCATTCGGCATCATATTTTAAAACAACAATGACAAAAGATTATACTTGTCTCAGTTGATTTGTATCTATAACTACCCATGTTGTATAAACTAAATTAACTTCACTTGTACTATTTGTTGGTTCATTTTATGCTTGTCACTTTATTTATTTATTTGTGTCTGTGCAAATGATGATTTCCCCCTAAAGAATCCCATGAATTCCAAAAATAGTCAGGCCTACTTCTTGTCTTGAAGGTCAGGTCTGTGTGGAACAAGAATAGTTCAGTTTCGTGATTAATAAACATGATTATTAATCAAATGTTCACAATTCCCTTCAATTATTCGCCAAATGATTTCTGAGGTCCCAGAAACTTTCTCCAGACGCGGGAGTCAGCTGCTGATG